ATATAATTGATATACATATAATTTATATCATTTCATATTATTTAGTTATATAATTTCATACACATAATTTGATTTAATAATCTCTGTGCGTCCGTCTTCAGCGTCTCTGGCCTGTGTTAACGGCCGTTTACAGACTTCATATTTTCACATAAATGACATTTTGGAAAATTATTGCATTGCAACACTGTTTGTGCAAGTCCAGAACAGAGACGAGTTGCAATAAGACAAAAAACGTCCGGTTGCCGATCGCCTAAGTTCCAGGGGAAGCTCCTTCGGCCGTCCTACACACACGTGACTGACTCGTCTGTCATTACAGAATCAGATTACGTTTTCAGTGTAAATATCAACTGCACAGTTTAGTTTGAAAGCATTCTGCGAGAAAATACTCCTCCGCACTGGTTTATGGGTGCTAAAACTACATTTCCCATCATTCTTGGCTCAGTTGCACAGCTAACATTCATCCTGCTGTTCGTTTTGTTGCATTACGAAAATCTGGCGTTTATGATTGTATAATTTTTCCACTCGTGGCTCTTAAAAATGGACGTCCCAGGAGATGCATGTGGTTTCCAGCGTGTCTGTTTGATGGCGCAGCTGTTTGGGGTCATGAGAACGGCCCAGCAGTCGTGTCGCTAGCTGTCTGCCGTTTAGGCGCTAACGGGGTGCTGCGGATGTGTTTTCTCAAGGGTTTTTCACACACAAACTCTACCAATGCTGGTGCAGATTTAACCATTGATTAACCAGTAAGGCTATTTTAACCATTCCCATTAACTAACTGGTATTTATCCATTTTGGGACCAAATGGCTAGTCAACAGACTGTTTCCAAAATCTACAACCAGATTGACCAGGCTGTTGGTATGTTGGCCGTTGTTGTAGATCATCTCAAAATGACCAAAGTTTACTGTCCTTTCTGATATGCTTTCTCTCTAGCGTTGTCATAAACCGGCTTTTTATCAGTCACTTGCTCTCTAGATATCAGCACTGGTGACGGCTGTTAAGCCTCCAGCTCATCATATGAGTATCTGCCATTACAAACACATCGGATCGCCTCTTTTAAATCTGGATCAGCCAAAGTCCTCCCATGTGGGAATCTGTTTCTTGCTCAGGGTGTGGAAGAGAGTCGAGCACTAAAATAACTCATGGGCCTGACAGACTCAATTGAGTGTACCGCTGTAAATCACTAACCACCCAAACCAGTTCCCCTGGGTGCGGAGAAATGCCACGGAGTCACAGAAAACCATGTGCTGCTATCAGAGGAACCTTTTTTTTGCTTTTTGTGAATGTTAACCTTTATAAAATGCTGAGTGCTTGGGAAACTTTGTCATTTTCAGCCTTGTTCCCATCACTTTTGCCCATAATTTCCTGTTCCTCTCCACTAAGTGGCAAAAAGGTCAAGCGCAGAAGATGTTTTCTGGAATGTCCATTGAAGCTGCTCGCATGATTGTCATGTATGGTTGTGTGTTTGTCTGATCTGGTAAGACCTGTTGCGTCCCTCCCTCTCCTGTAGCTGAACGCTTTGAGATGCAGTGGAGCGTGGGAGCACTGCCGGCCATCTTGCGCCTGTTTGGGCTTGCAGTGTTGTGGTTTAATTGAGCTCGGTGTTTGTTTGTGTCCCTGGGCGACTGCACTGAGCTGCACTAACCTGAAACCTGCGTGAGTTCACCCACCTGACGGGTTCCTTCCCGCCAAGAGCTTTTCGTCAACAGCGCGAGATCCAAACCACCTAAAATCACTCGCCACTATTGTTTAATGATCTGGCAGATAATAATTCACCTCAGAAAACACACTGAACCATCTGTTTTTCTTCTATCTTCTGTTGTTTTGGTTTTTGGAGGATGAGGGAGTCACACAACCTCAGTCCATGTTTCATCTGTCTAATTTGACTAGGCTAGATTCTACTGAGTGCAGTGTTGGGGGTAACGCATTACAAGTAACACAAATCAGATTACTTATTTCAAGTTACTAGTAAAGTAATGCATTACATGAGTTACTTTTTTAAAGTTACTTTTTTTAGTAACGGAAGAGGCACTTCCTTCAACCTGAGGCTTATCAATTTCACTTTTGGTGTGAAAGGGTTGGCAAAAATATAACTTTTGGGTTTTCTGTTATTAAAGAAATAAGCAAGCCCAGCTCAGGTGACAAAATGTAATGCAAAAGTAACATAATGCATTATTTGCCATAAAAAGCAACAAGTAACGTAATTAGTTAATTTTTATGGAGTAACGCAATATTGTAATCGTTGTTGGGGGTAGCGCATTACAAGTAATGCAAGTTACATATTTAGAATACTTTTTTCAAGTAAGGTAACGCATTACTTCTAAATTTACAAGAATATATCAGAGTTACTTTTTCAAATAAGTAACGCAAGTTCCTTTGTTTTTCTTGTGTTGAGAGAAATTGGGAGTGAGGTGCAGAGGCACTTCTTTCAGCCTGAGGCTTATTCATTTTACTTTTGGATTGAAAGGGCCTTTACAGTTGCACAAAATAGAACTTTGGGGTTTTTCGCAAGCCCAGCTCAGGTAACAAAAAGTAACGCAAAAGTGACATAATGCATTACTATTCATAAAAAGTAACAAGTAACGCAATTAGTTACTTTTTTTTATTGAGTAATGCAATAATGTAATCAGTGTTGCGGGTAATGCATTACAAGTAATGCAAATTACATAATCACATTACTAATTAAGTAGTACTAAGTAAGTAGTAAAGTTACACATTACTTTTAAATTTACAAGGAAATATCGGAGTTACTTTTTCAGATAAGTAACACAAGCTGTCCCTGTGTTGAGAGAAATCACAGTGCAGAGGCACTTCCTTCGGCCTGAAGCTTAGTAATGCATTAAGTTACTTTTGCAAAATTAATATCCATAAACAGTAACCAAGTAATGCAGTAAGTTACTTTTTATGGAGTAACGCAATATTGTAATGCATTACTTTTAAAAGTAACTTTCCCCAACACTGAGTGACACATGAATTTGCTTCAGAATACGGTCAAGTTTGATCAGATGCACAATAATATAAACAGTGTTACGTCATCTTTAGTAGCCTGCGTTTCGGCGCCTTGTGCTTTTTTCCAGAACCTTTCCTTTCACTGTTCCTCGGTGGCTAAATGATCTTCCCAAGCCTCTAAAACGTCCAAAATCTCATCTTTTCCATGAGCACTTGACTGAATCCTCTCTCTGCTTTCTTATTTCCATCCCTGTTCTAGCCCGTGCTCTTCTATTCTTAGCATTTTGAATGTTATTGCCTCCTTTGGATGACCGCTGTCTCGTATTTCTTATTTGAAAGTCATTTTGGATATGGAAAAAATAGAAATTTGGAAATAACAGATGTAAATGTAAAAGATATGGGAAGTGTTTTCTGATTTATTTATTGTATTAAACTAACTTTGCATGATTATATGGCTAGTTGTGTTGTTTTATTTGCATTTAGCATTGTTTTTCCTTGCCGTCTGAACAAGCCTGCGTCCCACCGGAGACCTGCTGCTCACTGACAGTTTAAACATGCACACCGCTGTCTAAACACGTCTCTGAATGGTGTAATCAACGTGTTTGGCCCGACCACATTTAAAACAAAGTGTGTGTGTCTGAGATGCTGTAACTATAATTATGTGCGGTGCTGTCATTTCATGTGGCCGCCAGGAGCCTGAGCTCACCGTCCTGAAATTTGCCGTGTTTTATGAGCTGCTGACCTAACGTGTGTTTGGACGTGCGAAACAGACCCAGCATTCCTGAGGACTTGCATAAGAAAAGCAAGAAAAGTGCTCTGTCGTCGATCTGTTTCTCATCCACTCTCTGTTGTTAGCATCAGTTGAAGGGCCTCTTCAGCTGCTGTTTATTTTAAGACGCTAAACTCTGGTATTAGAGATCTTCTCCAACCTCACGATGACCCTAGCAACCAATTGAACACCCTAGCAACTGCATAACAATAGGCTAAATGCTCAGAACACCCTAGCAACCATATGTGACCCTGGAGCACAAAAGCAGTCATAAGTAGCACGGGTATATTTGTAGCAATAGCCAAAAATACATTGTATGGGTCAAAATTATCAATTTTTCTTTTATGCAAAAAATCATTAGGATATTAAGTAAAGATCATGTTCCATGAAGATATTTTGTAAATTTCCTACTGTAAATATATTCAAACGTAATTTTTGATTAGTAATATGGATTGCTAAGAACTTCATTTGGACAACTTTAAAGATGATTTTCTCAATATTTTGATTTTTTTTGCACCCTCAGATTCCAGATATTCAAATAGTTGTATCTCGGCCAAATATTGTCCTATCCTAACAAAACCATACATCAATGGAACGCTTATTTATTCAGCTTTCAGATTATGTATAAATCTCAATTTCAAAAAATTGAACCTTATGACTGGTTTTGTGGTCCAGGGTCACATATAGCAATGACTTAAAACGTGTGTTGCACAGTTAAACATCACTTGCATTTTCCTCAAAAAAAAAAAAAGGTAAAGTAAAACATTAAAATATTTTTTGGCAGTCGTGCAATCTTAGTTATATTAGCAGAAACTAATAATAAAAAAGGTATTTGATTTTTCGAAAACATTATAAAACTTTTATTTTCAAAAAAAAAAAAAGTTAAATCCTTTTTTTTTTTTTTTTGCGATGGTGCAACCTTAGTTATATTAACAGAAAAAAAATGTTGGGAATGGTCCAGCCTAAGTTACATTAGAAAAAAAAAAAGTTATTTGATTTTTCTCAGACATTATAAACACATTTTTGTCTAGAACAGCATGTAAAAAAATAACAAGGACATTTATTAAGAAAATAAACCGAAGAAGCTTCATCCGACGGATCATGTAATCTTCTATTTTCGCCGTTGCTTGTTTATTCTGCTGGTCAGTGTTTGAAATAAACTCTGTTCATGATTAAACTTGCTTGTTATTAAAGTGTGCACTTCTGTAAAGTTTGTGTGTATATTAATGGTCCATAAAATGGTTTCTCTGACCCGTAACGTCTTGCTCTCTCTTCTCTCGCCGACAGCAACCATGTCGGACGTCGACAAGTTCCTGTATGTGGACCGCAACCTGGTCAACAACCCGCTGGCGCAGGCCGACTGGGCCACCAAGAAGTTGGTGTGGGTGCCGTCGGAGCGGCTGGGGTTCGAGCCCGGCTCGGTGAAGGATGAGCACGGCGATGAGGTGGTGGTGGAGCTGGCCGACTCGGGGAAGAAAGTGCGGGTCAACAAGGACGACATCCAGAAGATGAACCCGCCCAAGTTCAGCAAGGTGGAGGACATGGCCGAGCTCACCTGCCTGAACGAGGCGTCCGTGCTGCACAACCTGAAGGAGAGATACTACTCCGGCCTCATATACGTGAGTCTGAGCAAACACACTTACCGCTGCAGGATCATCTGCGAAGCTTTAACCCTGAGATATCAGGCTTTTATGGCTCATATAGTGAGAGGAAAAACCAGCTCAGAGACTGAGCAGAAATATGCAATTTGGTGCAGATGCTGATATTTATTATATGATGAAATTCTAATGCTTAGAATGTAAATCAATGAGATCTTTATAACAGTATAGAGCAGATACTTACATAAAATGATATTAATATCAGTCGTCACTCTATATCTCCAGTAGTATGTCTTAGTAAGATGAGATTGAAATGATCAAAACTAGGGTTGCAAAAAGGTGGAAAATTTCCAGTAAATTTGGGAAACTTTCCAGGATTTTTTGGAATATTCCTGGGATTTTTGGAAAGTTTCAGGAAATTTTCCACCATTTGCAACCCTAATCAAAACATATAATGCAATGCAATCCAATTATGATACAAATAAACGCTCCTCAGAAGGTGTGAGATGTTCTGGAGGCTCCGCTGAGGAACAGTGAAAGTGAAGCTTCTGGAAACAAACGCTCCTCAAAAGATCCTGATGATCAGATTTGAGACGCACTGAATTTCAGAGTTAGTGCTGTTTTAAGTACTTGGCAGTTCTGGTTTCAGACTGTTTTCATTAATAATCTTTGTTTTAAGCTCTTAAACGTATATTTATTTGCACATTTTGCACATCTGCTCGAAATAAACACCCTTTTTGGACAGCAACTTTGCTCCCATGATTTTGATCCTCCTTGTGACTGCTCGGGACGTTATCAAAATGGATCAAGGGTTTTGTTTTGAGGAATATTAAGAGATTCGACAGCCTTGAATATAGATAATAGGGTCTCGCTGACCTGCTCGCTGAAATTGTTCAGTGCCAATGCTCTACACAGGAAGCCGTTGGAACGATGTGCTCCTGAAGGACAGGAAATGATGTGATGTGGGGGGGGGGAGTTGAGTTTGAAGAATGATGGGTAGGAGATGAGGGGAGCAGAAGTGTGTCTGAGAAAAGACATCTCTTCTAGACACAGACTGGCTCATCTAATCTGGTTAAGATAAGTCAGGCTTGGTTGATCCAGTCTAGGTTGCGATTCTTTGATCCGAATCCCCTCACAGGTCTCTTATCTGGTTCTAAACCTATTTGAATCGTCAGTGTGAGTAGCAGTAGAGCCTGGTTACCATGGCAACTGCTCAGCAATGAACCTAACAACAGCATAGCAACAGTCTAGAACACACTAGCATTGTCGGGCGAGTGTTGCGTTGGTAAAAAAACACTTGCATTTTCTTGTATTTTTTGCAGTGGGCCAAATAGAGTTACATTAACAGAAAAGAAAAAAATATATACAATTTTTCTGAAACTTCACAAAAACATTTTAGAATAGCTCAACCTGTTTACCACAGTAACTAGATTAACCACTCAGGAGGAGAACATATCAACGATTGGAAGGTTTCACTTCACACTTTTGCGTTCCTGTGGTTTCATAACAAAAAAATAACTGTCGCAACAAATGAGAGCTGCTGCATGTGCTTTCTGCAGTGAGAGCTGCTTTAAACTGCGATGGACAAATTCAACATTATTAGCAGATGGACTTTGTGGACCTAGGTTTTCTGTGCTGATTTTGGGGAATCATACACATGGTACAACATGTTGAATTGTTCTCTGCCCAATGTTAATGCTGTTTTGTGTAGTTCTGAAGGTCCAGATTTCATGCTCACTAGGCCAGATTAGTTTCATACCAACTGGAAACCGCACTGGATCCCAAACCTCCCGTTTGAATACTTTTATTCATTCAATTGATCAAAAGTCACAGTAAGGATGTGTATAATGTTACAAAAGATTTCTATTTCAAATAAATGCTGTTCTTTCTATTCATAAAAGAATCCCAAAAAATAAAATGTATCAGTTTCCACAAAAGTATGAAGCAGCACAACATTGTTTTCAACATTTATAATAATAATAATGATAATAATTCTGAGAATAATAAGAAATGTTTCTTGAGCAGTAAATCAGCATATTAGAATGATTTCTGAAGATCATGTGACACTGAAGACTGGAGGAATGATGCTGAAATACAGCTTTGATCACAGAAATAAATTACATTTTAGAATATATTCACATAGAAAACAGTTATTTTAAATTGTAATAATATTTCACTATTTCACTTGAGCAGGAAAGACTTTGTTCAAAAACATGAGCCCAAACTTCTGAATGCCGATGTTGAGTGTGTGTGTGACTGAATGTCTCTGTTCTCCACAGACGTATTCGGGTCTGTTCTGTGTGGTCATCAACCCCTACAAGAACCTGCCCATCTACTCCGAGGAGATCGTAGACATGTACAAGGGCAAGAAACGACACGAGATGCCGCCGCACATCTACGCCATCACAGACACGGCCTACAGGAGCATGATGCAGGGTAAACACACACACACTCACACACACTCTCACTCTCTCTCACACACTCACACTCTCACGCACGCACGCACTCGCATGCACACACACACACACACACTCTCTCTCTCTCTCTCACACACACACTCTCTCGCTCTCTCTCTCTCTCTCTCTCACACACACACTCTCTCGCTCTCTCTCTCTCTCTCTCTCACACACACACTCTCTCGCTCTCTCTCTCTCTCTCTCTCACACACACACTCTCTCGCTCTCTCTCTCTCTCTCTCTCACACACACACTCTCTCGCTCTCTCTCTCTCTCTCTCTCACACACACACTCTCTCGCTCTCTCTCTCTCTCTCTCTCACACACACACTCTCTCGCTCTCTCTCTCTCTCTCTCTCACACACACACTCTCTCGCTCTCTCTCTCTCTCTCTCTCACACACACACTCTCTCGCTCTCTCTCTCTCTCTCTCTCACACACACACTCTCTCGCTCTCTCTCTCTCTCTCTCTCACACACACACTCTCTCGCTCTCTCTCTCTCTCTCTCTCACACACACACTCTCTCGCTCTCTCTCTCTCTCTCTCTCACACACACACTCTCTCGCTCTCTCTCTCTCTCTCTCTCACACACACACTCTCTCGCTCTCTCTCTCTCTCTCTCTCACACACACACTCTCTCGCTCTCTCTCTCTCTCTCTCTCACACACACACTCTCTCGCTCTCTCTCTCTCTCTCTCTCACACACACACTCTCTCGCTCTCTCTCTCTCTCTCTCTCACACACACACTCTCTCGCTCTCTCTCTCTCTCTCTCTCACACACACACTCTCTCGCTCTCTCTCTCTCTCTCTCTCACACACACACTCTCTCGCTCTCTCTCTCTCTCTCTCTCACACACACACTCTCTCGCTCTCTCTCTCTCTCTCTCTCACACACACACTCTCTCGCTCTCTCTCTCTCTCTCTCTCACACACACACTCTCTCGCTCTCTCTCTCTCTCTCTCTCACACACACACTCTCTCGCTCTCTCTCTCTCTCTCTCTCACACACACACACACTCACACTCACACACACACACACACACACTCGTCCCACAGAATGGCAGGAAGAGGAATTGACTGAACTGCAAATGAAAGAAATTCAGCAGTTACACAATAAAGTAATTTCATTAGTCCAACACAGACAAAACATAAATAATTACATCAATTTAGACTAATTATGTGTATTTATGTTGTGATTTATGATGGTTTTATCAGCTTTTCTCTGCTGTCAGAACAATAAACAACCATGAAAACAGTATGCCTTCTAAAAAAAAATTAATATTTATAAACCCACAAGAAAACGCTTTGTGCCAAATTATGCATGTAATTTGTCAGTTTTGTTCATTCAAAAATAGTTATATTACAATTAAAGTGTAATCTACAGCTAGATCCAATCTCAAGAAATAGGAGACTTTTTTTTTTTTTTTTTTTTTTTTTTCTTTTTTTTTTTAAAAA